AACCTGGCTAACATTGTTTGCCCTGCCCTAAAGACTCAGTCCTACTCAACTTATGGGCCCACCCAAGCTGCTTCCCCATATAAATGACTGGCCTTGGCTCATGCTTCACAACTTCCTAAATCCTTTCAAACAAGCAAAAGCTAGCCTCAGTGAGCCCCCAGCCCCCATACCTCTTGCTAAGTGGCCCCTGCCCAGCACTAGCGGCAGCCAGCCTAGATTCACAGCTTGGCTTTGCCTGGGAATCTCCAAGCCCAGCACAAGTACCAGCCATCTCAGATCACTTTATAGCTCAGGCACAGTGTCCATGGGCAGAACACAGCTGGGGGCTGACCGTGCCCTGCACCACCCAGGAAACCCCAGAGCACCTGTGCCCCCACCCAGTTGACAGCTACAGACCACACTGAAGCACCACCACCCTGCCCCCACATTGCTGATCCTCCACAGAGAGCAGAGGTTGGTGGTCAGTGGTCAGAGCCAGACCTTGCAGCCTGGGTAAAATCCCTCTCATTGACCTACCAGCAATCAAGGCTCAACTATAAGAAGAGGGTGTACTCAGCTCACACAAAGGGTGCACCTCAAGTATTCAGCTTCAGTAATAGGGAGGTTGTGCCACTGGACCCTACAGGACATCTACTACATCAGGCTACTTTACCAAGACAGAGAGTCATAGCAGCTCTACCTAATACACAGAAACAAACACAGGGAGGCTGCCAAAATGAGGAGACAAAGAAATATGGTCCAAATAAGAGAACAAATCAAAACTCTAAAAAAAGAACTAAACAAAATAGATATAAGCAATCTATCAGATGCAGAGTTCAAAACACCAGTTATAAGGATGCTCAAGGAACTTAGGACTTCAACAGCATAAAAAAGATCCAGTCAGAAATAAAGGATACACTAATTGAAATAAAGAACAATTTACAGGGAACCAACAGTAGAGTGAATGGAGCTGAGAATCAAATATCAATGATTTGGAACATAAGGAAGCAAAAACCAACCAATCAGAACAACAAAAAGAAAAAAGAATCCAAAAAAAGAGGTTAGTATAAGCAGCCTCTGGGACAACCTCAAGCATTCCAACATTTGCATGAATGGGGTGCCAGAAGAAAAGAAATAACAAGAAATTAGAAATTTATTTGAAAAAATAATGAAAGAAAACTTCCCAAATTTATTTGAAAAAATAATGAAAGAAAACTTCAGTGAAGGAAATAGACATGCAAGTCCAAGAAGCCACAGAGAATCCCAAACAAGATGGTTGCAAAGAGGCCCACTCCAAGACACATCATAATTAAAACATCAAAGGTTAAAAATAAAGAGAGAATCTTAAAAGCAGCAAGAGAAAAGGGACTACTTTAGGGGAATTCCTATAAGACTGACAGCTGATTTCTCACAAGAAACTTTGCAGGCAAAAGGGATTGGCAAGAAATATTCAAAGTCATGAAAAGCAGGGACCTACAGCCAAGATTGCTCTACCCAGCAAAGATAGTCTTTAGAGTCAAAGGGCAAATAAAGAGCTTCCCAGACAAGAAAAAACTAAAGGAGTTCATCATCATGAAACCATTATTATATGAAATGTTAGAAGGACTTATTTAAGAAAAAGATCAAAACTATGAGCAATAAAATGGCAATAAATACATATCTTTGAATAAATGAATCTAAAAAACAAACTAAGCAAAAAAGAACAGAAACACAATCATGGATACAGAGAGCATTTTGATGGTTTCCAAATAGGAGTGTGTGAAGAGGTGAGGGGATTAAGAAGTACAAACTGGTAGTTACAGAATAGCCATGGAGATATAAAGTACAGTAAAGGAAATAGAGTAGTCAAAGAACCTATACGCATGACCTATAGATATGAACAACGGTGTGGGGATTGCCTGAGGGAGTGGGGGGTGCTGGAAGGAGAGGGGAAAGGGAGAAAAATTGGTACAACTGTAGCAGCATAATCAATAAAATATAGTTAAAATATTTTGAGTTTTGAAAGCAATTGTAAAGTAAAAACATACCTAGTATATATTAAGTAAAAAAAGCCAAGATGCAAAACAGTATGTATATAAGCCCACTTATGTTATGTGAAAAGAATATACAGTTATACATCTGTATATGTACAGAAAACAACTATAGAGATACTCATCAATTGTTAACAGTTATTACTTCTGGGAAGTTGGACTAGGGAAAAGACACTTATTTTTTACATTAAATGCTTTTCACTGTTTGACTTTTATTCTATTTATGACTTTTATAATACCTCCATAAATATTTTTTACCTCTCAATCTACAGAGAGAGCTCTGCTCTATAATAAAAGAAAACAAATTAACCCATTTTGTGACCCTGTCCGATGATTCTGCTTTACTTTAGATGCTTCCAAGCTGTGAGACAACACAATGAGAAAAAACAAAGAACTACAAGCTACTAAAACATGGTCTAGACACATAAAATACACAAAATACACAAAGGAAGAGAGTGTTATTTATATAACCAACTGTATTCTAATGTTTTGGTTTCATTTTTTCCATTGTCATCATTCTATGTCATATAAATACTATATATTCTCCTTTCTCAGCTTAACATTAAATGCACTAATGTGCCTTTTCAGTAGATAAGTTGACAAAGTATCCTAGGTTGTCAGTGATCGAGGAGCTTACTTTTCAGCTCCTGAGGACAGTGCCGGCCCCTTAACAGGGTCTTTTCGTCCAGACTAAATTGAAGGAGGACTGGTTCAAACACTGAAATCGGTGTCAAAGCAGTGTCCTTAAACTGGGTTATTATTTGATTTCTTCCATTCGTTCACCAAATCCATCCCTCCTACCACCATGACTTGGGTTTAATAATCCCATCTCTGTACACAGGATGCCCTCACACTGACAAACCTGGATAATACATGCAAACACAGAAGGTGTCTGTGCCATGTCAGTCTCCGCAGATGCAAAAGTGACTCTAGCTGAATTACTACTTGCATCAGTTGCATTTCACCTCTATCTAAAAGCAAGGCCATTCTATAAACTCAAAATAGATTAAAGACTTAAATGTAAGATTAAAACCATAAAACTCCTAGAAGAAAACTTAGGCAGTAAAATCTGACATTTCTCCTAGCAATATTTTTGCTGACATATACCCTTGGGCAACAGAAACAAAAAATAAAATAAAATAAATGGGTCTACATCAAACTAAAAAGTTTTTGCATAGCAAAGGAAACGATCAACAAAACAAAAAGACAACCCACTGAATAGGAAACGATATTCCCCAATGATACGTTCAAAAAGGGGTTAATGTCCAAAACTAAGAAAGAATTCATACAACTCAACACCAAAAAAACAATCAATCCAATTTAAAAATGAAAAGAAGACTCAAAGAGACACTTCCTCAAAGAAGATATACAGATGGCCAATATCTGTACCAAAAGATGTTCAATGTCACCAATCATGTTATTCTATAAACATGTATGACTTATAATACATCCATACACTTTGTTTACCTCTCAACCTTCGGAAAGAGCTTTGCTCTGTAGTTAATCAAATGAATCCATGCAAATTAAAACCACAATGAGATAGTACCTCATTCCTGTCAGAATGGCTATTATCAACAAATCAACAAACAACTAAGTGTTGACGAGGATATGGAGAAAAGTGAACCCTCGTGCACTGTTGGCGGGAACACAGACTGGTGCAGCCTCTGTGGAAAGCAGTATGGAGGTTCCTTGACCATTTAAAAATGGAGCTGCCGTACAACCCAGCAATTCCACTTCTGGGTATATATCCAAAGAAACTCAAAACACTAATTCACTGTAGCACTACTTGTAGTGCTCACTGCAGCATCACTTACAATAGCGAAGATATGGAAGTAACCCAAGTGCCCCAAAATAGACAAACGGATAAAAACATTGTAAATATATACAAAGGAATATTACTCAGCCATAAAAAAGAATTAAATCTTACCATTCACAACAATATGAACGGACTTAGAGAGTATTATGATAAGTGAAATAAATCAGACAGAGAAAGACAAATACCATATGATTTCATTTATATGTAGAATCTAAAGAACAAAATAAACAAACAAAAGAGAAACAAAGATACAGAGAACAGGCATAATGGTTGCCAGAGGGAAAGAGGGTTGAGGGGATGGGTGAAAAAGGTGAAGACATTAAGAAACTGGTAGTTACAAAATAATCATGAATATGTCAAGTACAGCATAGGGAATATAGTCAATGACATTGTTACATCTATGAGGGACCCAAAAAATGAAATTTATTTATAAAAAATTGTGCATTTATTCTTACACATTTAAACTTCAGTCATCTTCAAAGCACTCTCTTTTTGATGCAATACACCTATTGAGATGTTTTTGCACTGCTCATAACAGTTTTGATTCATCTATTGATTGATTTTGGTGCCTTTTTGTGCTTCTGCTATTTATTGTTTCACCTTTTCCATACCAGCAAAATGTTTCCCTTTAAGGGCTTTTTTCATTCAGGGAAACAAAATAAAGTTGCTCAGGGTGAGATTAGATGAATATGGAGAGGTCATGCTGGTTTTGGTCAAAAACTGCTGAATACTCAGCATGGTGTGGGCAGGTGTGCTCCCACATCACCCATCATGAAGTGGGCAAACACACTGAAAGAGTCTTCAAAAAATTCACTGAAGCCAAATGCAACCTCTCACCACAACACCAGCTGGTACAGATGGGTTCCTAGAATACTCACCTAGTACGGAAAGCCTATACTACAAGGCACCTACCCTTCAGAAGATAATTTGGGTTTTTTGGGGTCCCCCCTTACATGTATGTTGCCAGGTGGGTACTTGAAATTTCAGGGGGACCACTTTATAAAGTGTACAATTGTCTGCCACTACGCTGTACATCTGAAACTAATACAAAATAATATTAAATGTAAACTGTAATTGAAAAATAAAATAAAAGCAAGGCCATTCTAGAATACATCAAACTTCAACTCGACCTCTCACTGGGGCTTCCAGGACCACGTCCGACAGCAGTCACTTACCCCCATGACTCTGCCACGCTGCTCGACATCCTCCCACATAAAATGAACTATGATACGACACATGTATTTCCCAGTCCGGCCTTCCTGCTTCATCCGGACTAGGCACATCCTGGGTGGGAAGAAGACATAAAGAGTCACTGGCTGTTTGCATTTTTCACATCACACATGTCCACTGAAGGTCAGCTCATCTGAGCGATTTCAGCAGAGCACAGAATAAAAACATTAGAAGTAATTTTTTAAAAACTTTTGCTGAGGTGCCCTGACCAGTGTGGCTCAGCTGGTTGGACATCATCCCACAAAGTGAAAGGTCGCTGGTTCAATTCCCGGTCAGGGCACATGCCTGGGTGGTGCATTCAGTTCCCCTCTCAGGGTGTGTGCGAGAAGCAACCGATCGATGTTTCTCTCTCATACTGATGCTTCTCTCCCTCTCTTTCTCTCTCCCCTCCCCTCTCTCTAAAAATAAATAAAATCTTATAATAAAGGTTCTATGGAAAAATAAATAAATAAATAAAATCTTTAAAAAAAAAAGACTTTTACTGAGGTGTAACAGAGATACCATAAAGTATATAAATCATAAGTGTTCATATTATTCACACCCGTGTGAACACCACCCAGACCAAGATACGCACTACTCAGAAAATCCCTGAAGGCTCCCTCACACATGGAAGGGACGACTTGTAGAAGATAAGTCAGTCTGAAACCTTCATTTTACTGATGAAGATGGGAGCCCTACAGAAGGCAAGCGGTCTGCCCAACCACAGAGCAGCCCGTAAAGGTGGGTACAGTGCTGTGCTGTCCAGTATGGAAGCCACTGGCTACACATGGCCACAGGAGCACTTTACAAAGGGCTAATTCAAGTTGAGATGGGTGTAAGTTTAAGATTTCAAAACTTAATTCAAGAAAAAGTATATAAATACCTCAAAATTTTTACATGACTTGCACTTGTCCAGAATATAAATCACAGAAAGTATTATGCTTTCATCTGTGTAATTATCAAATTGTTTCCCTCCTTAGAATGTGGCTCCATTGAAGGCAAATATCAAGGCTGGTTTTTAATTATCATTGTATTTCCAGGGTTTAAGTACAGCAGACACTTGACATATATTTGCTAAATAAATAAATGACTAAACTCAGGACCAAGTTTAGGGCTCTTTCCCCTGTTCCACCTTGCCTTTAATCAGTCCAGAGGGCTCCCTCTGCTTAAGACCTTACATAAAAATACAAGAATTACATCTTATTAATAAATACAATAATATATGCAATGATATATAAGAATATAAACAGGGTCATCAACTTTCCAAGCTAGTTCTAATCTCATTCTATAACCACACTTAAATTTCTATTTCTCTCATCAAACAGTTACTAAGCAGTGACATCAGGATTACTCACCTAAAGACAATTCCTGTGATTATTGTAGAATATTCAGACTACATTGACAATTCTATCTCCCTGAATTAATCCTGCCCATTAACATCTACTAGCAATAGCATGGTACAATGGAATGATTTCAGCCTGGCCTGCCTTAACATCTCTTTTAGTAACTAAGATGGAGAAAAGAAAACATACTTATCAAATTTGCAGATGACAAGAAGCTGGGCAAGAAGACAAATATGCTGGATGACCCAACCATGAACCAAAAATACTTCAACAGGCTGTTTTAACAGGCTGGATCTAAGAGAACGAATTTGAACAGGAGTAAATCTAAGGTCCTGCACTTTGGCCCAAAGAGCAACTGCAGAGGTACACCATAGGTGAGTCATACCCACCTATGTATGAAAACGTTTTACAGGCTTAAGTAACAGTATATGTTTGAAGGGAGGCAAGAGGGGTGAGGTTGTCCCCAAATTAATGTAATTTTAGATGCAGTAACAGAAATACAATTTATCTTCAATGCATAAAGTGAGATTTAAGTGAGATAAAGTAGGAACTCAGCACAGATCAGACTACCTGAAATTCTGTCCATAGTTTGAGCACTATGATATTTAACCTGGAAAAAAACAGGAGCGTTGCCTTAAATATTGTAGCAAAGTGATTACACTGTCCAAGAGTTAGAATCAGAACTAATGTGAGGGCCACAGAAAGAGAAAGAACTCACTCAGCATTGAATTTTGAAAGCAAAACTTTCTAACAGGAGTTTTTAAATATCCAAATGATGGAATGGATAACCTCGAAAAGTAAATGGCTTGTTTCTGAAGGGCAAATAAATGCGTGGTGGGAATTCAGCTGCCCGACAACCCGATCTCTAATGTCCCTTCCAACCTTGGGATTCGCTGATTCTGTGATTCTAAATGTGTAGCCTCTGAACCTAGTTTGTGCCCTAGAAATAACATTTTGTGACAATAAAAAACAGGTCATGGAAAAAGATTTGCCCACTTTTTACGATACAGGGCATATTCCGAGCAGAAACAAACTGGGGAAAGTTCAACAGTTCTTTTCATAAGACTTTTTGTGAAGTTAATCAAACCACTCGTGTCAGCCTCTCACCTAAAAAGAGCTGTGTGTTTTGATGCTTAAGTGTCGTCAGAGGCCAATTCATCAACAGCAACAGTGAGGTAATGGAATTCTTCATTTATTTGAAAATTCTGTAGTTTGTTAATACACCTGCCCTCTGAGGTTTAAAAGGCACAGATTTTCTCAGGCCATAAACTTACCAACTATATCAACACGGGGCGAAGTGTTTTTTGTTTCGGAGCTGTTTGTTCTATAGCCCCTATAGATAACAGCAGGCTCAAAGGGTTATCTGGGTTGAAAAGATAAAGCAAATTGAAGACACTTTCAAGATGCCAATGAACATAAACTGAGCTCCTAATGTGTGAGTGAACAGTAATGGTTGGAGGCTGCTGGGGATAACAGTGATGACTAAAAAGGGCCCAGCTTCCAAGGCTCAGTTAATCTCCCAGGGGAGACCAAATCTGCCATATATACAATTAGCCCTACAAGAGAATACGGTAAGTAACCCAAGAGAAGTACAAAGTGCAAAAGGGTTTGAGAGGATTACTTTTGGCTGAGTGAGAACAGAGAAAGTTTCGTGGAAAATGAAACATTATACCTGGGGTGTGGAAAGATGAGCTGAAGTTGGACAGGTAGAGACAAAAAATAAAGAGAATTTACAGCAGATGGAACATTACAAGCAGGGCAAAGGAAGAGCTCAACAGACGTAAAGGAACAATGGTTTTGTGGGAGGGCAGAGTTAGGAAACAGAAAAATATGCTATCGAGGTCATAAAAGGCTTTGAAATGCTATGCTAAAGAAGTCTGGACTTTATTCAGTAGACAATGGAGAGCCACTGAAGAAGGGGTGTAATAAATAACATTAGCACCTTGGCATTGAGAGCAGATGAGTCTCTTGAGAATTTAACCCTTTCTTCCCAGCCTCAACCCTGTAATCAAACATTAACGTCACCAGAGCTGAAAAATTACTTAGTGAATATTTACTTTATTTGAACTACGGTATTCAGAACAGTCTGATCCAGAAGTATAAGCTAAAGTGTGCACATGCCTTTTAAGAGCTGCACAACCAGCCCTGACCTAACTAACATGGCTGAGTTGGTTGGGTGTTGTCCCACAAACCAAAAAGTTGCAGGTTCAATTCCTGGTCAGGGCACATGGCTGGGTTGCAGGCCATGTGCCCTGTCACGGTGTGTGTACAACAGGCAGCTCATCAATGTTGGTCTCCCTCTCTTTCTCCCTCCCTTCCCCTCTCTCTAAAAATAAATAATATCTTAAAAAAAGAGCTATGTAACCAGCAAAGATTTACACAAAGATTTTACACAATCAGTAAAATTTGTTATAAACTGTACCTATTATTGCTGATACTAACAGTTTAGAAAATACGGATTCAAGCTTGCTAAATGAAAGGACAAATTCTAATTACTCCTAAAACATTGTACCTAATTAGTTCAATAGTCACTTATTTGATGCAAAACACTTTCAAATAAATCACACATAACTAAAGTTATAAAATCAAAACAAAAAATCAGTCTTCTCATCAGCAGGGAGTATAATGAAGATTCCCATGAGCTCGATGGGAAAATACGATTCTAACCCACAGAGCTGCCCACTCACTAGCACCGCACTCGGCTAACTAAAAGCTCAACTAATGTTTACCCTGAGCTTGTAAATGAAATTCTCTAGGTAGTTAAGGACAGAAAGTAGTCCTGTTGTGCAGAACTTCTGTGTTTTCTTCTTCAAGGAAAATGCACTGCAGAAGGCGGGGCCCACATCTTAGATAGTCAGCTGCCTGGGATGTCCAGACCAAGCAGCCGAAGGTCAATTCTTAGGCCACCTGACCTTGTGGCCTACACATTCAGTCTACTCCTACCTCTTTATTATTTTAAATAGGTAATACTTGCATGCGGTAATAAAAACTAAGTCTCCTTCCTACCCACATCCCCCAGCCACCCTGTTCTTCTCCCTAAGACAACCATAGTTAGTCATCTCTTAGGCATCTTTCCAAATATAATCCACAAACTTATATGAATGAATACATATTCTTTTTATGTAAATGATAGCCTCTTTCCCCCCACTTTCCACAATGGTGGTATTCTACACACACTGCTCTTACGTTGAGAATATATTTACTCTGCTACAAAAAATGTGGGTGAAGAAATCTCAACTCCAACTGTTTCAACCACAAATACCACAGTCACCCCAGTGAAAGCATTTTTCTTAGATGCCAGAGATGATAGATTTCCACTAATTTACATAGCAATCGTTATGGTAACATCTGGTCTAGGCTGAATTCAGCTTATCTGGCAATGTTACCTATTCTAAAAATGACTAAGAAATAGAGGAAAAAATCCTTAGTAGCAAAAATAAACAAGTGCTATAATTAACAGCTAACACAACCACGTGCCAGGCGCTGTGCTGTGATTTGGAAGCATTATTTCATTTAATCCTTATAATACTCTATTAGGCTAGTATTCTTCCTGTCTCCATCTTACAGATAAGGAAACTGAGTCTTGGAGAAGTAACTTGCCCAGAGTTACAAGCCTTGTAAGTGCCAAAGGAGATCTGAACCCTGATAACCTGACGTCAGAATTGTACTGTTTTCCTACCTTCTTTAATGACAAGAAGAAACCCTCCAGAATCCATTTACTCCATTTTTTAT